AGAGGGCCATGAGACTTAGACCTGAGTGCAAAAATGGAGGCTCTAGCCCCTTCCAGAGCTGAGATATCGAAACTCAAAAATTCGGCCCGAAAAAAAAACGACAGTGGTACCCCTTACGTTTTTTTTTTTTGGCGAAAAATTAAGTTTCTCCAATCTTCCCAAATTCTGATAGAGGGCCATGAGACTTAGACCTGAGTGCAAAAATGGAGGCTCTAGCCCCTTCCAGAGCTGAGATATCGAAACTCAAAAATTCGGCCCGAAAAAAAAACGACAGTGGTACCCCTTACGTTTTTTTTTTTGGGCGAAAAATTAAGTTTCTCCAATCTTCCCAAATTCTGATAGAGGGCCATGAGACTTAGACCTGAGTGCAAAAATGGAGGCTCTAGCCCCTTCCAGAGCTGAGATATCGAAACTCAAAAATTCGGCCCGAAAAAAAAACGACAGTGGTACCCCTTACGTTTTTTTTTTGGGCGAAAAATTAAGTTTCTCCAATCTTCCCAAATTCTGATAGAGGGCCATGAGACTTAGACCTGAGTGCAAAAATGGAGGCTCTAGCCCCTTCCAGAGCTGAGATATCGAAACTCAAAAATTCGGCCCGAAAAAAAAACGACAGTGGTACCCCTTACGTTTTTTTTTTGGGGCGAAAAATTAAGTTTCTCCAATCTTCCCAAATTCTGATAGAGGGCCATGAGACTTAGACCTGAGTGCAAAAATGGAGGCTCTAGCCCCTTCCAGAGCTGAGATATCGAAACTCAAAAATTCGGCCCGAAAAAAAAACGACAGTGGTACCCCTTACGTTTTTTTTTTTGGCGAAAAATTAAGTTTCTCCAATCTTCCCAAATTCTGATAGAGGGCCATGAGACTTAGACCTGAGTGCAAAAATGGAGGCTCTAGCCCCTTCCAGAGCTGAGATATCGAAACTCAAAAATTCGGCCCGAAAAAAAAACGACAGTGGTACCCCTTACGTTTTTTTTTTGGGCGAAAAATTAAGTTTCTCCAATCTTCCCAAATTCTGATAGAGGGCCATGAGACTTAGACCTGAGTGCAAAAATGGAGGCTCTAGCCCCTTCCAGAGCTGAGATATCGAAACTCAAAAATTCGGCCCGAAAAAAAAACGACAGTGGTACCCCTTACGTTTTTTTTTTTGGGCGAAAAATTAAGTTTCTCCAATCTTCCCAAATTCTGATAGAGGGCCATGAGACTTAGACCTGAGTGCAAAAATGGAGGCTCTAGCCCCTTCCAGAGCTGAGATATCGAAACTCAAAAATTCGGCCCGAAAAAAAAACGACAGTGGTACCCCTTACGTTTTTTTTTTTGGCGAAAAATTAAGTTTCTCCAATCTTCCCAAATTCTGATAGAGGGCCATGAGACTTAGACCTGAGTGCAAAAATGGAGGCTCTAGCCCCTTCCAGAGCTGAGATATCGAAACTCAAAAATTCGGCCCGAAAAAAAAACGACAGTGGTACCCCTTACGTTTTTTTTTTTGGGCGAAAAATTAAGTTTCTCCAATCTTCCCAAAACTCTGGATTCTGATAGAGGGCCATGAGACTTAGACCTGAGTGCAAAAATGGAGGCTCTAGCCCCTTCCAGAGCTGAGATATCGAAACTCAAAAACTCGGCCCGAAAAAGGTACAGTTTTCAGGTACAGGTACCCCTGTCTTTTTTTTCGGGGCATTTATTCCATTATAAATATCTCAATATCTCAGCTCTGGAAGCCACATGTGCTAACCCACTAGGGGCCCTTGAGGGTTTTCTGTGGGAAAGCCCGCTGTGGGCTTGCCCTCAGCAAGCCCACATCGGGCCCCAAAGGGGATTGCCCTTGCCCATACTGTTCCACAGAAAACCCACACTTACCCACAGTGGGCCCGCACTGGCATGTTTGCTGGATCTCTCCTGGATTTCGGCATAACCTTCCATTAAATGCTCTTGCTCTGCTTTGGAGAAAAAATGGGCGTTTTCTTTGGCCATGCTGAACAGTCAATAGCAGCGTTGCTGATTACTGTTTCTGCTATCGATACATGTCCCCTTATAAACCAATGCGAGAACGCGCAGTTATCTCAGATAACTCAACCCAGCTATACTAATTATAACCGGCAGGAGTGTTCGAAGAACCCAAATAGCCGGATCATGATTGATCTCAGATGTTTTAAGCAACGTACGAAGAACGAGCCCAATGACACTGACAGGTTATCATGTATTGGTTTATGTCAAGGTGTCATAACAAAGACATCTTTATTTGTAAGTTTTATTATTATTATAACACAGCTTATTACTTTTATATGAGGTTACATTAGTACTTTCATTTATACAAGTCAAATCACATTTTATACAAAAGTTTATTTCACAAATCACACGCCAGAACTAATCCCAGTTTAGATAATTATCTGTGCTTTTTTATTTCATGGTTTATATCATGTCAGTAAAGGGTTTCAAATCAGTGCCACAGCAGCAGGTTTTAATTATAAAGTGAATTATTGCTTACTTTGGTCTCTGAACAACAGAGTGTCAAGTATAAGCCATGACCACATCATGATAAGACAAACACATCATTAATACAAGTTATCAATAAACCAAACAAAAACACAAGGCTAATGCAGGAGGTATTGAAGTTATTTTTGATCCATACTTGTTGTTAGTAAACATCAGTATATTCTACAACATGTTTGATCATAATTTCTATACTTCACAGAATGAGATATTACCAGTTGCAGCTTTATAATATTCAAGTATGCAAGGCTACACATGACAGATTCCAAAAAAAGGCTTTTCCTTAAAACTGCAAATGACACAAGACAGAAAACATACAGAAACTCAATTAAGATCAGCTCCAAATGAATGGATAAATGCATAATAAATGGTAAATGCAAGGAAATGCAGTGGTTACAGTTTGACCCTTCACTATTGGTCACATCACAAGTGCAAGACATTTCCAGGGAAACAAACAAAAATGTAAAAATAAAAATGCACACAAAGGATGTATAGAATGACAAATAATAAGTCAAATTAAAGCTGCAAGCAGCGATGGGCGGGCCCTCGCACCTGTAGCGCGGTGGGGTGTGAGGCGGCCGCGTTGCATATTTTGCAGCTCAGCCGGTGCGGCTGTGAATTTGCTACGCTGCTTCATTAAAGGTCACTTCCTATTGCCAGCAGGTGGCGCTATGACTGTGGGTGAATGTCGGCATGTAGATTTGTTCAGGGCGGGACTCTTGTCAAATGTGTAAAATTTTGTGCAGATCTGGGCATTTACAGCCAAGTTACTACAACTTCCTGTTTCATGGCGAATCTTCGACGCCACGGACATGCCCATCGACGAAAACGCGCAGATAGCACAACTTTACATCGTCAATGCCTTTAGAAGGCACAGCAGAAATTTGAAGTCGATCCAACTAAATCCCTAGGTGGAGTTTGTTAAAGTACGTAATGAGTAAATCATCCCAAAATGGCGGTAAAATTAGAAATGGCTGACTTCCTGTTGAGTTTAGGGCAACGCTCCAAGAGACTTTTCTGTGTGTCTGGACATGGTAGATGTACCACAGAAATTTCGTACATGTCGGTCAAACATGCGACGGGGGCTGCTTCGTTAAAGGTCACTTCCTGTTGCCAGCAGGTGGCGCTATTACTGTGGGTGAATGTCAGCGAGTCTTTAACGAGTCAATGTTGCCTCAGTCTGGTTGATGGGTGTTTGAGGAGAGTGCTGTACTTTGAAAGTTAATAAAAATAATTCATTAAATAACCAACATTTATTTTTCACTACTTAGTCTTCTTTTTGTTTTTGTAAAATCTTTGCACTTAAGCTTATATCTTTGCACTTAAGCTTATATTATATACACTTTAATGGGAAAATGAATTTATCAAATGAACAAATCAAACACAAACATGTAAGGTTTTTATTTGTAGACATAACATTGAAACTCTGTAGTGTGTTGTGGTTGCTTCATCTGCCAGAGCTTCTGGCTGCTTTATTTTAAATAAGCACCAGATGGCGCTGTTCTCGACACTCTCGAAGCTTTGAATCTTTTCCCGGAACAGTCAGGGGAAAGCCTCATTGCTTCATGAAGCTTCATTTCCCCATCCCTACTAGGAGGAGTTAGTTAAAGTACGTAATGAGTAAATCATCCAAAAATGGCGGTAAAATTCGAAATGGTCGACTTCCTGTTGAGTTTAGGGCATCGCTCCAAGAGACTTTTCAGTGCGTCTGGACATGGTAGATGTGCCACAGAAATTTCGTGTATGTCGGTCAAACATACGACGGGGGCTGCTTCGTTAAAGGTCACTTCCTGTTGCCAGCAGGTGGCGCTATTACTGTGGGTGAGAAATCAGCATGTAGATTTGTTCAGGGCGGGACTCTTGTCAAATGTGTAAAATTTCGTGCAGATCTGGGCAGTTACAGCCAAGTTACTACAACTTCCTGTTTCATGGCGAATCATCGACGCCACGGACACGCCCATCGACGAAAATGCGCAGATGGCACAACTTTACATTGTCAATGCCTTTAGAAGGCACAGCAGAAATTTGAAGTCGATCCGACTAAATCCCTTGGAGGAGTTCGTTAAAGTCCTGAGTGTGTAAATCGTCCCAAAATGGGCGCCAAATTCAAAATGGCCGACTTCCTGTTGAGTTTAGGGTATGGGTTCTTGAGGCTTTTTTGTGCGTCTTGATATGATACACGTCCCCACCAAATTTCGTGTTTGTAGGTTGAACGTGGACGAGGGGCTAATTTTTTCCAATTTTCTAGGTGGCGCTAGGGAGCCATTTTGCCACGCCCATCCGCGAAACCCACAAAATACGAAATTTTTCACCAGTCCTGACATGCGTGCCAAATTTGGTAAGTTTTTGAGCATGTTGAGGCCCCGAAAATGGCGCTTACTTTGCAGAAAAATGAAAAAAGAAAACCTTCACAGTTTCAAGAGGGTCCTCGCACTATTAGTGCTCGGGCCCTAATTATAGCTTTAAAAGAAGCAACTACTCACTTCCTGTATAGGTCATTTTGATCAATGCAAATGTCACATGTAGATTTAGCATACATAAAATATAATGCAATATAAAAATATCTCGTTCATAAATATCTATAGTTCAAATATTGGACTGAAGTGGTAACCTTCATGTATTTTGTTATATTAACCTTGGTCCAATTTGGTATTTATGACACATACAAAACATATGGGGAAAGTATGTTATAATTATTTATCTTTATAAATATTCTTCCTTTAAGTTAATTGAACATGTCACAACAACATACACACGCTAATGGAAGCAGAATCCTTCTCCGTATAGGAAGAATGAGTGTCAGAGCTGCAGGAGTTGCTGGCAGAGTGTTCGTATGACCTCTCTGTGCTCATACAGGTACATCTGAGTCTCCCACAGCATGTCGACCAACACAGCGTCACTGACCTCGTCCAGCATCACCTCCTGAGACAGCTGAGGACTCAGCCTGAGGCACACACCAGGGGAACGACAGATGCAGGTTAGCAGATGAAAGAGGGAGAGAAGAAATTGAACGAAAGGTACAAATGAGAAGAAAACGAAATGGTGACAGAATAAATGAAGAGAAATTAAACGCATATAGGACAGAAAGAACATACAGGAAGGAAGTAATGATAGGAAGCAAAAAATTAAGTGAAATGAAAAATGGGTAAATTAATAAAAGTAAGAAAGAAAAAAGAAATAGAAATTAGAAATTCAATTCGAGAATAAAAATTTTAATAGGGGAGAAAGGAAAATGAAATAAGAAAATACAATTAGAGAAAAGGGAAAAAGGAACAATTCAACTATTTGAAGGGAAAAATAAAATGAAAGGAAGGAAAGAAGGAGGGAAGGAAAAATTAAAAAAAGATATTAAGAAGGAAATCAAATGATAAAAGATGGGACAATTTAAGTAAATTAAAGGAGGAAAGGAATTAAATTAAATGAGAAGGGAGGAAGAAAGGAAGGAAATAAAATAATTAACGAAGAGAAATAAATGAAAAAAAGATAAATTCATGGAAGGAAGGAAGGAAGGAAGGAAGGAAGGAAGGAAGGAAGGAAGGAAGGAAGGAAGGAAAGAAGGAAGGAAGGAAATAAAATGAGAAAAGGAAATTGAAAAAGGAAAGAAAGAACAATGAAATGATTTAAAGAAAAAAAAAATGGAAGGAAGGAAGTATTAAAAGTGATTAAGAATGAAATTAAATGATAAAGGGGGAACATGTAGGTAAATTAAAGGTGGAAAGGAAATTAAATTAAATGCGAAGGAACGAATGAAGGAGAAATAAATGGAAAGAAGACAGGCAGGGAGGAAGGAAATAAAAAGGTATTAGAAGGAAATTAAATGATAAATGAAGAGAAATTAAAGGAGGGTGAGAAAAATAAAAGAGGAAATAGAAATTAGAGTAAATGAAAAATTAAATGAAAGAAAGAAACGAAATAAGGAACATTTAGGGGGGAAATGGTAGGAAATGAAAGGAAGGAAATACAATTACATAAGAAGATTCAGACATTATAGAAGGAGGGAAGGTAAGACTTAAATGAAAGGTAGGAAGAAAGGAAGAAAGCAAGGAATTGAATGGAAGAAAGAAAGGAAGAAAATTCATTACATTAAGGATTGAAGGAAATTAAAGAAAAGGGGAAGAAATTAAGTGAAGAAAGGGGTGGAAGAAAGGAAACCACCAGAACACCCAAAAATCAAGAACTGGTGGGACAGTGGAGTTGAGTCACACAAAGAAAGAAATGATAGGACAAAACAATGTAGAAAAGAAGAGAGTGAAAGCAGAGACAGAAGGAAAAGAACAGAACAGGAAGAGAGCAGACATGAGTGCGAGTCAGCTGACCTGTGGTAGTTAATATCGGCCATCTCACACCACGCTCGAGCTCGGTCCACTGCACAGCCGTCTGAGTCCGTACACTGACGTACAAACACAAACATAACACCACTAGTCATTCCAACATCACAACAAGAGTCTACAACGAAGATGTGTGTGTGTGAACTCACGCAGTCCACGAGCATCTTGCCCAGTTCTTTGGCGCCAACGAAGGTCTTGGCCAGTTCCAGCGGGTTTGAAGGCCTAAACACGTCCACAGAGTTGACCGCCACCTGAGGAGGTTTACCCGTCCCCAACGACAGGACCACCCCTAACCTGCTCACGTCTTCCTCGCACCCCTGACAGAGACACACAGACGGCTGCTTAACACTCTTACAACATTTCACCAATGTCCAATGGATCTTAGTCAGGAAGTACAGCATACTGCTCCAACCATAATGTGCACCCGTTGTAGGAAATGGTGTTGGTATTACAAACAATTATATTGCAGTCAATTACATTTTTAGCTAAAAGTGAGTCTTTAAGGGATAGTTCAAACAAAAGAAAATTATCCCATGATGTACTCACCCTCAAGCCATCCTAGGTGTACATGACTTTCTTCTTTCAGCCAAACACAATCGAAAGTAGAGTCGCCAGTGATTACAGTTCATAAAGGGTTAAATATGTTATAGCTTACCTCAAGGGTATCCAAGATGTAGGCGTCTTTGTTTACGCAGTAGTTTCAATTTTGATATTTTTAGGTCAAACCGTTCTTGTCTGTCAGTCATATAATGGAGGTCTATGGTCACCACCTCAAAGAGCATCCACAGAGAAGTCCAAATTAAACATGATTTAATGACTTGTAAATGTAAGTACACATTGATGGCCTAAGACACGAAACGAGCGGTTTGTGTGAGAAAACGAGCAGTATTTATATCGTTTTTACCTCTTGTAACCACAGCCACATCCAAGTGATCTGAAGGCAAGGGCGCTTCGGTCTACGCAAGGTGTACGTCACTCATTGTTTACACAGAGAGTTCGGAAGTGTTACTTTTCACTGTGAAGATCTAAACATATTTAGATATTCAGGAAATTGCAATGGAAGACGATTTCGATATATCAACAGACAACGTTGAATTTATTTATTTTTTTTCCGCAAACACGCGACAGATCACTTCCGGCGCTTGCATAGACCGAAGTGCCCGTGGCCTCAGATCACTTGGCTGTGGTTACAAGAGGTAAAAACGATATAAATAATGTTCGTTTTCTCACACAAACTGCTCGTTTCGTGTCTTAGGCCATCAGTGTGTACTTACATTTACGAGTCATTAAATCATGTTTAATTTGGACTTCTTTGTACATGCTCTTTGAGGTGGTGACCATAGACCTCCATCACGGTTTGACCTAAAAATATCAAAATTGAAAAAACTGTGGAAACAAAGACACCTACATCTTGGATGCCCTTGAGGTAAGCTAAACATACCAAAAATTAATTTCAAAGTTAACTATCCCTTTAACCCACTGGAGTCATATGTATTACTTTTATGATGGATGGATGCACTTTTTTGGAGCTTCAAAAGCACTATTCAATGCCATTTCAAAGGTGGAAAGGGCCGGGATTTTATTTAATATAATTTTTATTGTGTTGGGGTGAGAAAAGAAAGTCATATAGACCTAGGATGGTTTGAGGGGGGAGTACATTATAGAATAATTTTCAGTTTTGGATGAACTATTCCTTTAAGGCAATATTTGAGTATCAGACCTGTGCCTTCAGGGCTTTGTTGTATTGGTGTATTTCTGTCATGGCATCTAGCGTTGGGTTGTTGGCCAGCAGCCCTCCATCCAGAAAACGCCCCATTGGTCGAAAATAAGTGGGAGCTGCTCCACTGGAGCGGGCAGCGCGCCAAACTAATTGCTCTGAGAGAAAGAGAATGTGAATGAGCGAGAGAGCGTAATAGAGAACCAAGCGTGCAAAAGATGATTAGCCTCCCACAAACAAACTAATGACCGATTACTTCCAACGTGAGGTACGATTGCGCAATATAAACACCAAAAACCTTGCATACGGTGACCTTTCCATTCCACTCGCACTCTTTCTCACACACACCTTCATCCGTCACCTTCCTACGCTTTCTAGGAGGTCGAGTATATCCTACAACCAAAAGATCTTCGTCCTCCCACCCTGAAACATCGACAGTGAAGCTTCACGCATCATTTGATATTGAGGATAACTGAAAAACCCAGAGCCTGTCAACATGCTCATAAAGAGCACGAGGAGAACATGAGTGTTTTCACCGGCACAAAGATAATTAGCGTAACGGCATCCCTAAAATGAAAGAACAGAAGAGATTTACCCTGTGGCACAGTGAGGGGTTGAAATGTGGCAGTAGATGTGTACGGAGGGTCTCTTTGAAGGACCGGTGGGTCGTAATTACGAAACAGATGCAGTTCTCCAGGGTGTCTGTCTGCAAGAACGCTAGTTACCATTACTCTGAGAGAAACAGACAGGAGATGGATTAAAAACAAGCATTTTCTGACAAATATGTGAGCTCATTTTGTGTTCAGCGGTGTTGCAAAGCGGGGAGTTCGAGGTATTGCTAATCTATTTTGGATGTTTGCCAGTGTATTAAAAAAGAATATTCAGGTCTTGCTATGCAGTTGCTGGGGTGTTCAGAGTCGTTGCTAAGGAATTATGAAGAAGTTCTTGATGGTTGGTAGAGCACTACAAGGGGGTACTTGGTTGTTGCTAGGCGGTTGTTGGGATGTTCAGGGTCTTCAATAAGACTTTTAAGGTGTTGTGGGTGGTTGCTACAGTAGGGCATTGCCAGGGTGGCATTGGGTGGTTGATGGGGCATTGCTTGGGTGTTGTGGTGGCCGATAGGGCACTGCTCGGGTGTTCTGGTGGCCGATAGGGCATTGCTTGGGTGTTGTGGTGGCCGATAGGGTATTGCTTGGGTGTTCTGGTGGTTGATAGGGCATTGCTTGGGTGTTCTGGTGACCGATGGGGCATTGCTTGGGTGTTCTGGTTGGGTGTTCTGGTGGCCGATATGGCATTGCTTGGGTGTTCTGGTGGCTGACAGGGCATTGGTTGGGTGTTCTGGTGGCTGATATGGCATTGCTTGGGTGTTCTGGTGGTTTATAGGGCATTGCTTGGGTGTTCTGGTGGCCGATATGGTATTGCTTGGGTGTTCTGATAGTCAATAAGGCATTGCTTGTGTGTTCTGGTGGCTGATAGGGCATTGCTTGGGTGTTTCTGGAGGCTGATAGGGCATTGCTTGGGTGTTCTGGTGGCCGATAGGGCATTTCTTGGTGTTTCTGGAGGCTGATAGGGCATTGATTGGGTGTTCTGGTGGCTGATGGGGCCTTGCTTGGGTGTTCTGGTGACCAATAGGGCATTGCTTGGTGGCCGATAGGGCATTGCTTGGGTGTTCGGGTGGTTGATAGGGCATTGTTTGGGTGTTCTGGTGGCTGATATGACATTGCTTGGGTGTTCTGGTGGTTGATAGGGCATTGCTTGGGTGTTCTGGTGGTTGATAGGGCATTGCTTGGGTGTTCTGGTGGCCGATAGGGCATTGCTTGGGTGTTCTGGTGGCTGATATGGCATTGCTTGGGTGTTCTGGTTGGTTGTTCTGGTGGCCGATATGGCATTGCTTGGGTGTTCTGGAGGCCGATAGGGCATTGCTTGGGTGTCCTGGTGGCCGATAGGGCATTGCTTGGGTGTTCTGGTGGCCGATAGGGCATTGCTGGGTGTTCGGGTGGCCGATAGGGCATTGCTGGGTGTTCGGGTGGCCGATAGGGCATTGCTTGGGTTTTCATTGCTTGGTTGTTCTGGTGGCTTATAGGCCATTGCTTGGGTGTTCTGGTGGTTGATAGGGCATATGGGCAGTGGACAGGATGTTCTGGGTTTTTGCTAGACAATAGCTTACAATTTCTGAATAGTTGCTATGGTGTTCTATTGTGGAAGTTGTTGTTTGGTTTAATTAAAATCCCAAACCTTATTTATAAGTAAGTACCTGGGGTGTGTGACGTCCGTCATCTTGGTATTTTCTCCAAACTCGTTCTTCAGAAATTCCTCCAGAGGACCAGACTCATACGGTCGAGAACCTTTAAACACCTGTTCCTTCATCCTGAAGTACAGACAGCGAAGATACTCCATCGATTTACCTGCTCAAGTACACAATAAACATAATTATGCTAATGCATGTACACGCTTACACTAACCAAGAATATATTTTTACAATTATAAAATGGATCATTCTGTTCCTAGATGCTGAAAGGTCAATACAGTTTTATAAATCTACTTAAATATAATATAATAAATCAAATACCGTGTACAATAGCTAGAGCCAGTATGCCACCGGTGCTAGTCCCAGACACCCAGTCAAAGAGTTCCCTAATGGGACGTCCTGCCTCTTTCTCCAGAGAGATTAACATCTGGATCAGAACCAGGCCTTTAATTCCTCCACCATCAAGACACAACAATCTGTCCATTCTTGCGAAAAATAAGAATAAATGAGTGATTAACTCTTTGTAGGCTTGTTTTTTTATTAATGTTAATTTAATGTAACATACTTCTTGCCTCCTGTTTTGAGCCCATCAACCTCTACAAATCCACGAGTCATGGCCGTGACAGCTGTGGCCACATACATGATGTCATCAAACCCTGTGGACCAATTAAGAGGCAGATGTGAGAGCAGCGAACCAAATTATAGGCAGGTTGACTCTATTATAGATATGCAATACCTAAATGCCGCTGTTGATAAGTGTGATATGCAAGCATGTCTGTCACTTTGGAAAGGTCAAGTTCTACCAGCAAACAAATTAAAGTGATGATGCAACAAGATCATGCTTCGCCGGCATTCTCAACTGTAAAAGACTAGACTCTTTTGTCTCACAGGTTTGTACAGTAGGCTGCACAATTTTGTTGGTGTAATTATATTAGGTTGTTAAGTGATTGCTTGAGTTCAATCCAAAATGTTGACCTTTCCAAGATGACGGCTGCTGCACAAATATGGATTAATCAAATGGTGCATTTAGATATTCTAGTTTATATGACTAGAAGATACGCATCCAAGATGGTGGATGAAATCAAGAGAAATGTCGATTTACTTATTTATTTACTGATTATTTTACAGAAAATTAGTGTTAGAACTTATTAAACTATCACATTGTTAGCTTAGCAACATGCCATGGCCAAACTATTGAAATCAATTGTAAATCGAGTCTTCACTGCTCTTTATATAAGGAACACAGTTACAATTTACCTATGTTCAAAATCGGCCACTTATCAGGTTCCATTTAAGGAAAAACATAAAAACTACAGAAGAAGGCTGAGGGAGAGAGATGAAAGATATCGCCAGGAAATCTGAAGTTTGGAGGCGGGGCTTTACCTATGCCAGGAGGCGGAGCTTTGTTGATGCTGGGGATAGGGCTGTCGAGGGATGGGGGGTGACACCGTTCGGCCCCTACACTACACAGCATGTTCAAGAGCACCTTACGGTTGGGCCCTTTAGTACAAGCGCAGGATTAGACACATGCACACGTCCACACCCACACCATGCACACGAAAGAAAGAGTACATGTTGACTGAATGCATGAATGAGAAAACAAGAGCATGAGTCATTCCTGTAGTTAAACACAAAACATCATGACACGCAAGCGTCACATGGTTTGCGGCGATAATCTCACAACAATTACAATAGCCAATCAAAACATCAGGACCCATCGGACAGCTTCTGCCGGTTTTTCCAGAGAATAGCTACTGTTGACTTATGATGATGAACACATTTTAATACTATACACAATATATAATGTCAATATCCATAATACACACTGTTGTATTTTGTATTGTGACACGATATATAGTTACACCCCTACTTTTTAAATTTAAAATAAATAAATAACTCAAAACAAATACAGTCCTTGCGGCTTTAGCAACATGAAACGTGGAACGATTGGCTGAGAAAACAAAACGGATCACCTTTTAAAGGTGCATTGCGCAAGTCTCTGAGTTTTTGCAGAACTATGCCCTCTCTGGCGACAAGCGAAACTGCAACCAGAGGTACGCACGCTCATGGACCACACGCACGCTTGCACGAGCTGTTCATAACCAAAGGAGCATCAGCCGCACAAATCTTTTGTTACAGACTACAGTCATAATGTCTTCAGAGGTAACAAAGTTAAAAATATGCAAGTCATTTAAAATATATTAAAGGATAGGCATTTGAGTGAATCACACACTTGTGTAAGGGAAAAACAGGGGTGGTAGAAAACTTCAGTTTTTGTTTCCATCTATCTCCATGTTGAACTGTTTTATGTGTTTACTGTATTCACATATGATTATTAGGGCTGGGTAAAAATATCGATTCATCAATGCATTGCAATTTTTTGCTTCTCAATTCAATATCGATTCATCAAATCCTATGAATCGATTCAGCCATCCAGGCCAGTGGCGGCGCTGTGGGCTACACTCTAGTGAGAGCGTTCAGCGTTGTACAAGTCGTGCTTTAGCCCTTAGCAAAACAGCGCGATGACGGACAACAGCTGCACTCCGTTCAAGCCTGATTCAAGACTGCACCGCCAACATTAAAAGCCGACGTTTGGGCTCATTTTGGATTCCACTGTAAGCCGGGAACTATGGAAGCTTGTTTCCGCCACAGAATGGAAAATAAAAAAGGTAATTGCGACTTTTTATCTCACAATTCTGACTTTTTTTTCTCACAATTGGGAGTTTACCTCTCGCAATTCTGACTTTATTTCTCAGAATTGCAAGATATAAAGTCAGAATTGCGAGATATAAAGTCACAATTGCGTGATATAAAGTCGTAATTGGGTGTTATAAAGTCAGAAATGCATGATATAAAGTCAGAAATGCATGATATAAAGTCAGAATTCCGTGATATAAAGTCAGAAATGCATGATATAAAGTCTATGAGATATAAACTTCTGAGAGGGAAAAAGGTTAGTATTTTTTCCCCCTTAGAATTGGCCTGATAACTCGCAATTGCTGTTAAGTGTGATCAGCTATTAAGTGTTATTGTTTACAAAATTATAATTAGAATATAATATTGCACTTTTTTGAGTATGCACATTTTGTGCTTCGATTTACATTTCTTTTATAACTTGAATGTATAGGAAGAAAGAAATATACTTTCTACTACTTAGTTACTTGCACTTTAGAGGTGTTGTTAAAGCACTGTACAGTGCTTGTCACAGTTGTGTTTGAATTCAACACCTACAATATTGTACATTTTTATTCTGCTGAATAAACCATGACAGGAAACAAACATGCTGGGGTCAATTTGTTCTTTAACATAAAACTGTGCACATTACTTAAAAATATACTCAGGCACTTAATTACTTGTGTATTTACTTATTATTGAATCGATATCGAAGCTAATAAGTCAATATTGAATCGAATCGAAATCGAATCGAAGCCTCAAGAATTGAAATCGAATCGAATTGTGAAATACCTAACAATACCCAGCCCTAATGATTATATTATTCTGGAAACACATTCATGAACAATATAAGTTAATACTTTGGATAGGACCCGTTTGAGCCCTAGAGCCGACCGGAGATCTCTCCAATTGTTTAAAGCCTTCCCGATGTTGACTCTCGTCTTATTCCGACGCCTGGCACTAGACAAGCATTATTTTCTTCGTCTTATGTGGAGTTTGCGTTAGGGTTTGGAATGAACTACAAGCCAATCTCTCTCAATCTCCATCTTCTACTTTTGTCGAAAGTTGACTAAAGTTTTATCGCTCGAGAGAACGGCGGTGATTACACAAACCTGCCAGACATAGCCAGGTGAGCATGAACGCGCATGACGTCTCACCCAGTCTCAAATTCCGTCCCGAATCCCTCTTATTTATTTTACTGTACAGGATTATAGAGGCAATCGCAGTGATCAGAGAAGGGCTCATTCAGCCCATCAGGCAATTGTTTAAGCATGTATGGGTTACAAAAACAGGTATTTTTAACATGAAATGTTGAACAATGCACCTTTAAGGCAAAAACAAACGCAAATCATTAGTGCGTCAACAAATGGACTTTACATAAACTTGAATTGTGACATGTTGCACAGTTGTATTTATATAGCAGTTAGATCATATAACAGTTAGATAATATTATGCTTGCATGCAAACGCCCCAAATGATGTTATGCAAAAGACCCTGGAAAACTGTGCAACAAGAAATTAAAAGAGCTTGAACACATTGGAGACTGTTCTTCTAGCCTTCAATCTCACATCCCTGACAGCATCTCTCTCTCTCACCCTTGCTGGTACGCGCTGCGATGAGTCCTGGCGTCTCTCCCACGTCATTGTGAACCTCCACATCTGCTCCAAACACCATGAGAGCTTTGATCAAGTCCATGTGGTCCAACTGTAGGTCCAGAGGACACAGCATGTAAGGAAAAAAAAAAAAAATAGAGAAGGTGTCCGCTTTACCTACAGGGTTCCTACACATTTTCCATTTCAAAATCCAGACTCAAATATCTAGACCTCCTTCCAAACTATTATTCAGAGCATATTTAACATGAATGGCTCATACAGCACTATATTTGTTATATAGTAGTTATCTGTAAATATATATTTTTGGTTTTCTTAAAGTGATCAGGCTCTTGCATGATGAGAAAAACCTAAAAGGCTTTATAACCTGCATATATTCACTATATATTCACGCTCAAAAATCAGTTTGACACTGGAATTTATAATTGTGCAACAGCCACAAAGTACAGTCTGAAGTTCAAAATGTTCAACAATCAAACAATATTTGCTGTAGGATACATTTCATATTAGAAAATCTTAATGTTATTATATTTTAGAAAAATGATCACAGGCAATAGTCTGAAATCTGTAAACACTGATATTTTCCATACTTTTCCAAAATTGAAAATTACTTCAATCAAATTTCATACTTTATCAGACTGCGTAGGAAACCTGTACCCACATTTTCTGTAAAATTGTTTCAGAAGGAAAATTATTAATTATTTGAAATGTGAGCTTTGAAATTGTTTGCATGAAATGCATATTTTGCTAAACACTTATTTTGCTTATTCTTGAACAGTTGTTTTTGCTAACAAAATTAAAAAAAAATAATAATTTCCGTTAATTGAAAAAGCTAAAATAAAATAGAAATTTTAGATGACAAATGTAAGATTGTAACTTAAATGAACATTAGTAACTGAAGTACTAAATTTACTGGAGTTAAAACTAAAAAATAAAGAGCATAACAAAGACTGAATATATAAAAAAAATCTCATTCAAAATATGAATAAATATCATGATAGTAAATAAATAGTCTTAAAATAACGCTGTTTTTACGAGATTATTTTACAAAATATTTTTTATGACAAACTCATTTTGGTATTTTCAAGAAATCAATTAAATTTTTAATTGTTATAATTTAATAATAAATAAATATTATTTATTAGTTATCAATACTTATAATAACTCTTTTATTAAAAACTGTACAAGTTTAAGGCAGTAAAACAAGTACTATTATTATGCATAAATATTTAATCGAAAATTTTTAATTCATTTATTTTAATGTCTTTTATTTTATTACACATATTGGTGTGAAATATGAGCCAGCCATGTTCTTGACAGGCCTAATGAGTTCTCTCTCATACCTTCATGGCGAGGTGCAGTGCTGTGTTTCCGTCCTGGCCCTTAATGTTGGGGTCGGCTCCATGTGTCAGCAGAGTCATTGCGGCCTCAAAGCGCCCCCTCTTGGTCAGGATGTGTAACGGACTCTCTCCGGTCTTACTCAGGTAGTTGACGTTACATCCTCGGTCCAGCAGTACACGGCTCATCTAGAGAGAGAGAAGACGATAGTATCGGCCTCAGACCGTCGGCTGAACATCTGATGCATAAGGCACACAAAATGGGAAACACTTCGGGAGTTTCGAAGCCGTCATCTGATCCGTCATCCGGGAGACGTGCGTGTCGTGTTCTTTAACGGGCCACCCGGAAAAAAGGCCATCGTGATGCCAAACCCCCTCATGGAAGAAGAATTGTGATTACAACTGACAATGAGCGCTTATCAGGATCAACTTAACACTGGGTTTACAAAACTATGTGAAGGTCGCGGCGCTTGTCTGTTATTGTAGGGACGTCGGCTTTACAGTTTCACGTCTTTAAACAGGGGACAAAACAGACCTCTCGGACGTCTTTGGCCAATGAAAGCTGCGACGGGGTCCAGACCTTCTGCGGTCGTACGCAAGCCTAGAACGCAGATAATTCCTCAAGTCCAAAGATACAAAACAACAACAAAAAACGGCTTTTATGGCATATATTTTGTGTCCTGGGATAAATGCGTTCGCTATGTGCGTAGCAACATATAATCCCTCCGTCACACACACACACACACACACACACACACACACACACACACACACACACACACACACACAGATCTGCTGTGAGGAGACACGGTTATGATGCTTGTACCGATCTGTGATGGGCAACATCACGACTATGAAGAGAAAAACGATACGCTTGATCATTCTGTCCTTTTTAGGCTCTCATCTTCCTGTTTTTGGTTCGTTCACATGTCTTTGGTCCGTGATGCGCTTATATTTCAGTCAAATCGAACCAGAGCTTAATAGGAAGAGGAGCGAGACCCATCTTTTCAGTGTCTCGGTCCGGTTGTTTGGTGGCACCGTGGTTCAGATGGCAGCGTTCACACTTATTCAAATGAATTCCACTAACGTAAGTTTTTATCCAATCAAGCCTGAACACACCCTAAAAAAGCAAAGTAAGTATTCCTGACCTCGGCAGTCTTCACCCAGTGGAGAGGCGTTCCACCATAAACCGGATCCTCTGCTAGAAGTTGATTGGGATTAGACGATAAAATTGCTTCGGCACAACTAAAGAAGAGGAAACGAGAAGAATAAGATCGATTCATTGAAACTGAAATATCAACGAAACAATGAAGATTCCTGGTCCGCACCTCTTCTCGCTAAACTTCATGGCAGCGTGGATTGGATAGCCACTACTTCCCATGATGTCACAGCGGGCTCCGCCCCCAAGCAGACCCTTGACCACCTCCACCCTCCCGAGGCGGCACGCGATGTGCATCGGCGTTTCCCCGGAGGCGTTCAGCTCGTTCACACCCGCGCACAGTTGTGCACACAACACCTAGCGGAAACAGAATGACACAATCATCGAATATAGGAGTCAGTCATTCAGCAAGCGAGCCCTGAGTTGACCTCTCACCTCTATAATAAGGGCGGAGTCTTGCTTAGCGGCGCAGTGCATGGGCGTCTCCCCGTTCTTGTCCTTGATGTCCGTGCGAGCCTGACACTCCTCCAGGAGCTCGCGCACACAGCCCACGTCTCCTCTCTCGCAGGCCAGGTGAAGCGGCGTCTGACCCTGAGCGTCACGGGCGTTCATCTGGCTGTGAGGGAACACAGCAATCTACATTTCAGAACCTCTGGATTTAATGTTTATTATCGGACTGAAAAGCGATGCGATTTTCTTAACATGAGGTTGGTTTAAGGTTTTATCTCACTTGTGCGTGTTGTGATAACAACAGTAGGTCATCCGCTGTTTTATGAGTAACATGAATTCGAACACACTTATGTTTGTCACATACAGGAAGTATGATACCTCAAAATGTAATTGTGCTTGAGACACTCTCTCAGTCCGATATCCACAGCGACGTGAGCTGAGCTGTAGTCGGGGTGATTCCGCACACAGTCCACGATTGGCTGGAGCATCTCGGGTTTCAAAGGTGGGCGGAGCATCTCATAAAACGGGCGGAGTTTGAGGCTGTACTGAGGAAACCAATTCATGGCATCTGCCTCAGAAGACACCTGGAACAACCTGAGCACAAAGACAACAAAATCCCAATTGCTTTCGTTCTTGAAACCCACATATGACGAGCTAATGAAATTGTGGTTGATGACAATGAAACGCTAGATTCAGGGGGTGCCGTTAATTAACAAGAGCCTGGATCCACAATGGTTCTTTGTGGCTAAGGCTTCCCACCGCTGGTTACTGTCATGTGCTGATGGGAATGCAAATCAGGGAGTCTGAAGCAATACAGGAGTTGTTGCAAGATCACTATGAAACCACAAGACTTTTATAGGAAATCAATTTATTGACTCAAGAGGTGTCATGCGATTGTGAATATCTTGAGTAAAGGGTCTCACCTGAGGGCCACAGAGGAAGACTCAGGGCAGAGAAGCAGGCAGTCCCACGACTGGCTCTGTTGGTTCCTGTACAGGACCAGCCGCCCCTCCTGTCTCAATAGCACTTTCCCATTATATTCCGCCAGCTGCACATCCCTCACACGGTACGGGTTGGAGAACAGGTTCGACACGGAGCTCACCGTGTCCAATATACGGCCCAGGAACTGCATAGTGAGCTGGGGGAAGAGGGGGAAGAGAGGGAAGTAGGTTGAGGATGCTCTGACAAGTGTTCTCATTTTATCTGACCAACGAATTTTCATGGGTTGATTTAATGTTTATTATCAGACAGACTATATTATATTAGATAGGCTATATCTTATCTAGCTCTTATAATAGATTCGATTTTTTTCTTACAGGAGGTTGGTTTAAAAATGCTCAGGTTTTTATCTTGTGCATATCGTGGTAATGCTGAATATATTGTGAAATCTATAACCTTCATATATCTGAAAATATTGTGCATTTTTTCACATGCTTTTCACTGATAATTTGAGATTACTGTTTAAGGACTACCTGAACCTGTGTGTGTGTGTGTGTGTGTGTGTGTGTGTGTGTGTGTGTTTTTACAATATTATGTTTACTTGAAGATAGAAAGGTAATTATATCATAGAATTTATAAATAAATAAATGTAATTTTACTTTTTTATATTTCTCTGGTTTATGAACAGAATTTGCACAATTTAGATTCAGAGGATACACACATTTGTACACAAACATATTATATATATATATATATATATATTACATTATTATGTTTACTTTATATTTGAATATATAAAGGTAATTATATTATAGGATTTTTTTCCCTTTTTCATATTTTTTCTTGTTTTTATATATATTTCAGACTCTTTTTCATATTTTTCTTGTTTATAACTTGTTTATATATATATATATATATATATATATATATATATATATCTTTTTTAATTTTTAAATTATTGGGCTTTTTTCATTTTATATTTCCCTCATTTATATACATTATATATATATGAAGAGTTTAGATGCAAAAGCCTCTAAATGCCATTTGAAATTTTCTTCTAAAATGATCATTTTTATCAAGCTTATATATTCAAGTTCAGTAATTTCACTTAAATGACAATAATAGGTAATCCTCATTGCAATTTAACTGAAATCACTGAACTTAAATATACAAGCTTGATAAAAACGATCATTCTAGAAGAAATTTTCAAATGGCACTTAGAGGCTTTTGCATCTGAACTCTTCATATCCTTTTTTATATTTATCTGGTTTATGTAGTTTTTGAAAAAAAAAAAAATACATATGCATACATAATGCACACACACACATAGCTACATATAAACACACACGTATGTATGTGTGTTGTGGCTAAAGCAAGATGAAACAACATTAGTTATGAGTAAAAATGCAAACACAGCCACATCTGAACATCGATTGACTTGTTTGATAAAGAGAACACAAAATTACGTTCATGGTTTATGTGCGTGCAGTCAATTCATTCATTTCGCAACCGAAACTATTACTCTCAACTGTTAGCATTTGGCGCTCGCAGTTTAATCATTGGCTTTTCACAATCACTAGCAAGTAGCAACTGACAAAAAAAAAAAAAAAAACCCCTCAAAACTTGCTTGTCAAAACTATATGCCACAAACCAGTTTAACAGTCAAACGTAACAATGTAGATGACTGTCATCCGTGCACGAGACTTTGATCAGGAGCCACACCAACAGTCAGCACTATTTTATCCTAAACGCCACAAGTGTGCATTAATCCTCACTCAAATATAAAAGCTCTTAGTCATTTCCTAAATCGTTACCCACGCTTAACGCCTTACCTTTGCGTTATTTCATTATTCCGTACGGTTATTGATGTACTGAGACGCAGCAGATAGTTGACTTTTGATAGGACATCAACAATCACTACATGACAACCAACCTTGTGTAAGATTGTCTGACAGAAGCAAGAGCCAATAAGCATCCGAGTTTCCAGCGCGCAACCGTGATTCCAGCCAATGAGGGCGAGGGGGCTTTTTTTTCCGACAAAAAGCACTCCCTTCAGGATTCGCACATATTAAATATTTTAAAAGGGATATACGAGCAAGACTTTTTAAATAATCAAACAGCCCTTTATTTAATTGTGCTATGCTGTATTTGGAGTAACACATATCATTGTTGGAAAAATAAGACCTAAAAAATAACCTGTAGGGAAGGTTCTGGAGAGGTTTCCTTTAAAGTTGTCACAAAAAAACTCCCTGCAAGTTTTGGAGAGGTTAGTTTTTTGTCTGCTCAAACCAAAGTAGCAAAATGATTAAATTCAATTAACGTTAACATTTACTTGTGTAGCTCTTTTAACAATACATAGTTTAATAGCAGCGTTCCAGAAAATGCATGTTTCTACATTACAATTTAGAGTAATTTGTTTTATTATCATTATTGTTTATGTCCAAGTAGGCTAATGTCCATTTAGCAGAAATGTACAGTTTTAAGATAATCATGCAGTTAGCTAACATGTATTAATTTAGGTAGAAAGATTCATTAAAGCAGTGAGTTGTGACAATAATGATTATAGTAAATGTGGCAGTTGTGTATGTTGAGTCAAGAGTTGGCACCATCTCTTTACAGCATCTAGAAGTCTTCATAAGAGGCTGGATCCAAACTGGAGCTGACATACAGTTACCTCAGGATGGGCATCCCAAAATAAAACAGAAAGGCAAATGGAAAATGACATTTCATAACATTTCCAGCAAAAGATAATCATGTGCATTTGATCTGATATAGGCCAACTGTATAAGGAGATGCATTATATGAACCCTTGTCTAAAGAGATGTGTCTTTAATCCAGATTTAAACTGGGAAAGTGATACCCTAGTTTTGTGACCTTGAAGAGCATGATGGATTGTAGCCTAAGTCATTATAAAGATCAGTTAAATACACAGGAGCTAAATCAATTAGGGCCTTATAGGTCAGTAGTAATACTTTATAATTGATAGAACTTGTAGCCAGTGTAGATATGATAAAATTGCTGTTACATGATTATATTTTCTTTGTAAGAACTCAAGCAGCTGCGTTTTGGACTAATTGTAGCTTGTTTATTGAGGAAGCAGGGCAATGCATTAGCTACCTGGTCATGAATGCATGAACTAACTTTTCTGGATCAGAAACAGAAAGCATGTTCCGGAGCTTAGCGAATCTAGCGATTTTTCTGAGCTGGAAAAAGGCTGTTTTTGTAACATATGAAATATGATTTTCGAAAGACAAGTAGTTGTCTATAACTCCCAGGTCTGGAACTAAGATGAAGTAACTGTATCCTTCAAAATGCAAATTGTATTTTAAGAGATTCTGTGTACAGGTTTTTTGTCCTCACCTCAGTCTACTCACTCTTCTTCTGGTCATATCATTGTTATAACAGTGGAAACTAATTCCATGTTTCCATGGTCAAAAATATTACCAAGTGGCAGCATATTGAAAATAGCTGAGGACCTAACACTGACCCTTGTGGCACTCCATAATTTATGGACTTTAACTTGGATAATTTAGATAAACAAAATAATGGTATGAAAGATATGATCTAAACCACCTTAATGTCTGTCCCTGAAAACCAGTGTAATTTTGTTGTAGATCAAAGTCATGAACTCATGATCTGTGTCGATCGCAGCACTGAGCTCAAGTAAAACTAGTAGATGGCCTGAACAGCTAGAAGTATGTCTTGAATCTGTAATTTTAACAACCACAGTTTCTGCGCTATGATGGGGTCTGAGCCTGGGCTAATATTTCACATAAATACAATTTATTTATTTATTTATTTATTTTGCAGCAAGACATTGAACAGAATTTGCGATAGTCTTCCCTATGATGTGTATAATCCGAGTGAAACGGCTTCTCGAAGAAAAGGGACGTACGTGCAAGTTGGAGGTGAATTGAAGATAATTAAAGATATAAAATACTATCATATTTCATTCAAAACAAGAATTGTTTATTTTTAATTTATGGTGACTTTGATGATTCAACACTCTGTTATTGTGATAGGAAACCAACGATTGTGATTTACATCTTTAAAAATTGTGAGTTTAATATTTCATCCTATATATTATCAAGAAATATATTATGAGGAAATGTCATAATATTTTCGGGCCGTTTCTGGCCGTTTCCAGGACTACCATGGCTAGTTGACCCGGATCACGTGACAGCGCGGGGTTTTGTTGCTGTCACAGATTTGTAAAGTGAAGAGCCGCGAGACAGAGCCGTCTGGAGCGCGCGCACTAAAAGATGGAGCAGGAGCTGTCGGCGACTGGAGATCGGGTTTTCGCCGCGGAATCCATCCTAAAAAGCCGCGTTAGGAAAGTAAGTAAGAAAAAAATAGGTTTAGGGTGACTGGGGGTGTTTTTTACAACGTAAAGTACACAGAGGGGGGAGTCATCTTTCGTTTGTTCCGCGATGCGGAGCTTCAAGGCGCCTGCAATGACAAGAGGGGGCAGGCCTACTTGCAGATGTTTCCCCGTTTACCGACCCAGTGCGTTTATTTACATTGTCAGGTTGGAAATAACAAGTCAAATGTGGGTCATTTGGATATACAACTTGAGTTTATGTTGTAAAATTGGGTTGTGCTGTGCTGGGAACTGAGAACAGCCCGCTAAAGAGCAGCAGGGGGAGGCTAAAAAGGGACAAAGTGTCTGGCATAAGTCCATGACAAAATCAATGCATGCTGGCTGACCCAAGATTCAAAGATCTCAACAATGCAGCAGGATCGAGTAGTTTAAATACTGCACAGTGTCATGCCACATGGTTTAAAGTGTTGGTTGTGCTTGTATTAGGTTATATTTAGATAAACATACTTTACTGACCCCCAAAAATCAAATACATGGGCATGAGGTTGAAATAGGGCATGCATTGCTCATGCATTCTTTAGTTAGAGTTAAATAAAGAGGATTTTCTGTTGTCTTGCTCTTTGCAGGGTCGAATCGAGTACCTGGTGAAATGGAAAGGTTGGGCTCTAAAGTAAGTGTGTAAAATATATAAATATTTAAATGGATAGGCTTATACTTTCACATAGTTGCAATGCAAACTGTATTTTAACCTTTTCTGTTGTATTGGATGGAAAGGGACTTTCTTTTTTTTGGTTTCACTATGAGGCTATGAGGCTTTTTTGCATTTTCTGCACAAGTACTGTGTAACAGCTGCAGCTCTATAAAGAAAATAAAGGGATTATTGTGTTATAATGTATTTAACAACTGGTATAATATAATATAATAAATATAATAAATGGTTATGGTAATCATTTTAAACGTAAGTGCCAAATCTAATTTACAATGAGGAACATTACAGTTACATTTTAATGGTAAGTAAAGTACAACAAATTGACCCAATCTGCAAACAGTTTGTGAATTAATTCTGATGTAATGAAAAGAAAGGGTTTGTGTGCCTGTTACTACATGACACTTTTGGATGCATGTCATTTGGGTAGCTTAAAAAGGTCAAGTAGTGTTTTGACATTATGTACTACATGTAAAACTATTTTTAAGTTTTAGATTATAATGCATGCTTATTATAATGCATGCATTATTAATGAACTGATATAAATTAAGAGCTATACAAATGTATTTATAAAAAAAAATAATTTGTAATTTGTTACTACAGCACTATTTAAAGAATCTGTAGCAAGAAAAAAAACTATAAATATAGGAGATGCAACAATGTATCGGCCAATAATCTGTACAATACAGGCCAATCAGGATTATGTCATGTCAATCAAAAGGGGGTGAAAAAAATACGTGTTCAGACTGCAACCCATACCGTGTGTGGGAAGAAAATCTCGATTTTAATTTAAAGAAAGTTAACATGAGAATTATCACAGGGCTACACTTAGTAGAGCTGGACAAAAAAAAAAATAGAATTTTCGATTAATCATTTTTCAAAATTGAGTCGATTCATAATCAAATAATATTTATCTATCACCCAAAAGCTAGTATTAGTTTTCCTACACTGTTCATAGGCTTGTATGTGCAACCGAGAGGCATAAAAACATTTCAGTTTTTATTTTGAGTGTGATTATTATATATGAAAATAAATACCGGTTAAATATAAAAGCTCTGTTGTTAATTTTCACCTCTAATAGTATAGTAATGTACCAAATGAGAGGCTTCCATTTATATTTTGTAGCATTATTTTGGAGAGATTTTTTCTTTTTCCTTAGGAAAATCAAACTATCGGTAGAGACCATTCTGAATAATCGGCTATTGGTTTCGACAGAGAAATGTAGAATTGTGCATCTCTAATAAATACATACGTTTTTGTATTTTTTATTTTCTGAAATCTTGATGGAGAAACCTTGTAACCATTGCCATTTTAAAGATTCAAATGTTTTGCAATATAGACACAGCACATGGGAACCAGAGGAGAACATCCTGGATGATCGTCTCATCGCAGCCTTTGAGCAAAAGTGAGTGTCACTTAAAGACTTGTCTTTACCTCTTAAAACCTAAATTCTAAAATTAAGTTATAAAAATGTAAAGAACTAAAATATTAATTCTATATAAAGTGTGTACGTATATGTCTCATCAGTTCTTATTTTCAATGTAAGAGCCATGTAAAGATTGTTTACATTCATTCTTTATCTTTTCTTGCTTTATTTTTGCCGTTTTTTTGCTGCCAGTAAGTCTGGAAACTAGCCTCTATGATGAATTTTTAAACAAAGAAGATTTGTAATACACTTCAAAGGCTTTCATTTAGATCGTTATGGTTTAGGCTTGACACTAAAGTGATGTCATATTTTCCTTGGCTTAAATGGTGCTGTCCCACATTTCATAGGGAGCGGGAGCTGGAACTTCACGGCCCAAAGAAACGTGGACCTAAACCAAAAAACTTTGTACTAAAGGTTTGAGTTTTTTAAAAAATGTTCATAGAAATATATGCTTTTTCATTTTAAATTTTTAATACAAATTTATGCCTTTGGTGTTTCAAAACGTACAACTTCCTGTTTGATACTTTCGTACTTCTCGGTCATATTTGCTTTTTGCCTGTCTAGGCACGGGCACAGGCGGGTGATAGACCTCGAAGCTCAAATCCCAGACGCACTCCACCTTGCACCACTGCAAAGCCTCCCACCTCTTCCTCTTCTACAAGTTCAGCTGCTCCTCAGTCTTCACCATCCTCTTCCTACTCTACCGCTCCAACCCCCAGAGTGCACTCTCTCGCTGCTGCTCATAAACTGAAGAAAGACATCCATCGTTGTCATAGAATGTCTCGACGACCTTTGCCGCGACCCGACCCTCTGGCCGATCCAACAGGATCCACATCTTCACCCCGTCCTCCCATCTCTCCATTCTCTGAAACTGTCCGCATACTCAACCGTAGGGTCAAACCTCGGGAGGTTAAGCGGGGACGCATAATCTTGAACCTGAAGGGCATTGACAAAGCGGAAAATGGTGGAGTAGCCAATAGAAGGTCAGTGCAGTCGTATACGGGGCGGGCGAAAGTCCCATCCAGGAATCGCATCATTGGGAAAAAGCATGGGGACATGCCTTATAGGCCATTCCAGCATCCTATGAAGATGTTGGGCTTCCCAATGTATGGCCAGCCATTCGGGCTTCACCCCTGTGGGCCAATGTCCTCCATGCCCAATGAAGGGTCCAATACTGGAGCCAATCAAAGAGGTGGAAGCTCCTGTGGTTGCCATTCCTCTGCAACTGCGCAGAAGTTTCAGTACCAACCTCCACCTTCTCCATCCAGCTCCAGTGGGTCAAACGGCAGCTCCCCTTCATCTCAGAAACAACTGACCCAACCTGAAGCTCCTACTTCAACTAAATTGGGCTCCCCAGCCTCATCACATTCCCGAGATGCCTCCAAACCTCACCCAAAGTCCAGCCTGACGCAATTCCTCCCTTCCTCACCCTCTTATTCGTCCTCCCCATCATCCTCTCCTGAAGATGAAGACCAGGGCACTCCGAATCTCACCACTTCTCGGGGCCGAAAACGGAAATTTCGACATCGAACCCAGCCGGGTCAAGCCTCGGTCAGCCAGGTTAGTGACCGCAATATTGCTACACTTCACGAGGAAAACAGGGTGCCAAAAGAGGGGGACCCCGATTGGCACCCTGAAATGGCACCCAGCTGTGCCAATGTAGTGGTGACTGACGTCACCACAAACCTTCTCACTGTCACCATCAAGGAATTCTGCCATTCTGGAGCGGGTTCTGAACCCTCCTCCCCTTGCCAGGCTGACAACCCACCCACTCCCACCACAGCTGCCTCTTGAAAGTCCCCCCTAAATGCCCCCAGCCAAAATATCTGCCCACTTAACCCCATGAGAACTTGCCATAATGATATTAACGCACCCTAAAATAGTTGCCGGAATTGAAATTAAAATGTATTTTTGGTGAAATTAAGAATTATTGAAGTAATACTTAAAGGCAGGGTTGCTTCCCTTGACCTATACTTTTTAAACAGCATGTTATGATGGTTTTGTAGTGCTTCATGCCTTTCTTCCCCCTCTTTTTTTCCCCAGTGATCCTGTCTTTCCACAGCCTTTTTGCCCAGTAATTGCACCTTGTCTTGTCACCACCAGTGCTGTAGAGACCGCCATTCCCATATCTCCAGACCTAAAGTTCAGAATCCACCCAAGAAATGTTGATCTCAACAGCTTTCTTGGACTCGTGACGGTTTTTTTTAATCTTTTGAGGTGCATTGTTATTAGGATACCAACCAAAAGATGCTTCACTCATGCTTTGGAAGTTCAGCCAGAGTGGGTGAAGATCGTGTATCCGCACACGCACTTGTTAGATAACACTTATTGTGGCAATATGCCCATTTAGGCATCCAACCCATACATTTTGATCTCATCAACTGTCTCCTTTGCTAACGAAGAACCATTTCTCATGAAGAACCCGTGTCATCATTGCGCTCTCTAGATCTCCTGGGCGTAGACGTGACTGTATTTATATGCACCAAGCTGCAAAATCCTGAGGACAGTTAAGTTATTTCCTTCCATTTAAACGCTTTGGTCCAGATGTCTGCCAAGACTCTAAACTGACTCAAGTGTGAATGCTGAGGACTGCATATAATGTGTGGTACTGTACGTTAAATCTTCCACACACTCAACAACCCGCTTTCCTTATTGGAGAAGTTCCTTCTCATATTTGCCTTCTGACTACAATAGTTTGTGTTTCATGTAATAGTTGCTGTATTTTGGGGGGGTTGGTAACCAGAGGTAACTTCTCTCAGAGCTTGATTGAAGGAGTTCAAATACCATTTTAGAGACTTTGAGTAAGAGGGTCTCAAACCTACCAAATATAACAGATTGCCTTGGTTGATGAAACCCTCTTTCGCACTCTCGAACGATAAAGTCCGGGACCATGTTTATGGCGAGTGTTATGCTGGCGAGCTTGACTGCAGGTCCGACCAGGTGCTAGAATTGCCAATACAGACCTGGGATAAAGCTAGCTTGTTTAGTTAGTTGGTGCTTGTGATGTGTCGATATTGGTATTGGTCCAATCATATCAATCTAGATATCTATCTTGTCTGTGCATCGGTAACAGATACACACACACACACACATATATATATATATATATATATATATATATATACATATACATAGGCTCCCCATTAGAGGCTGTTTCTATGGGTCGCTATACTTAAGCCATCCGCCATATTGAAACGGTCAAAGCCGGTCCGTGAACATTTGAGAGCATGTTAACTGCAAGCCGATGGTTTTGCTTAAAGCAGCACTATGTAGTTTTTTTTTCAAACTTTATAATATTTTTCCAAAACCCTTGAGATGGTACATGAACTTACAATAGGTTGAATGACAGGTCTGCCATAGCCTGACGATGTCTGTATCGCTTTCACTTGCACTCTGTAACTTCCGGGAGCGGGTAGGAACCCGAGCACACAAAAAAAAAAAAACTACAAAATTCGGGTGCTTTACGGCATACATCACTTCCTCAAATTCCGACGCAAGAGCCCAACGAGTGTTTTTTTTTTTTTTTTTTTACCTCTGTATGTTGTCATGGCTGAAGCAAATGTGAAGTGCGTCAGAAACAGAGCGCGCGCGATCAGTTTACTGTTGGCAATGTGTTGTGTAGCTTCGCCCCTCGCTGCATCCTGCATTGCTTTCTTTTGAGGGTGCTTAACACACTCAAGCATCCCCGTAGAGCCGGGGTGGGCAGCTCGCGCCAGCTCAAGACGTGAAGGTATACTGATTACTGAGTTTGGTAGGGGCTACATTCATGCAAGTAAATAAAACATGATTAGACGGACTAAATAATTGGTTAGGATAACTATCCCATGTCTGCAGGCTGATAGTCATGTTTGTTACTTATTTTTCTGGTGAACGTGTCTTGCCTCAGGCTATAACGCAAATCGATTTGTCAAATTTGCAGGTTCATCTATGGTAGCTTGATATTATAATATTGACGATATGGCTATTATCTACCAACAAACATTGAATTGAATTAGCATATCCATTATGTAAAACAGGCTAATGTTACTATAAAGACACTGGCTTGTAAACGTTAGCTACGCGATCTTTTGACGTTTAGAATAAATAAAGCCCATGACACTATATTCATAAGACATGCTGAAATATATGCGATGAAGGCATTTCACACGCAACACTGGAGTCTGCCCATGATGTGAGAACTCCTTCCTTCTGCAGAGTTCGGGGGTATTGCTTGTCAACAAATGCACGCGTGTATTCGCTGGTGTAACCATTACAGATTTTACGACAGTAGTAGAAGACAATACTGTTTCCCAACTGTAGGGGGACCCCGAGAGCACAATTTCAAAAATAACATAATGCTGCTTCTTTTATGTTTCACTAGAGAAAGGTTTGAAAATACATGATGAACAGTTTTCCGAAGAATTAATTTAATATTTGAAACTTTAATGACAGCTAAATGGTTTAGTTGCGTTATAACTTTATTTTAGAATTAATTTTAAAATTGTGAGAAGCTTTTCACAGGCTTTTTTGGGGGTGGGGGGCAATCCAGCAAGCAATATTAGGATCAGGCCTAAAGAAACAGGTTAACACACAGTTAATGGCAGCTAACTTGGTTGTACTGAAGGATGATAAATTGCCACTCTTCTGGAGGACAAAGGCAAACCTCATTACACGCTTTAATTATAGAACACAATTAAGTTCCACTTGTAGTCATATAGCCATTCTCTAATGGAGCACTTTTACTCCATCACTGTGCCTTTAGGGAGAAATGAACCGTATGGCTTTTTTTTAATAGTTTTTCCCAAAATGATTTACAAATATTGACAATTTTTATTATTTTTAGAATGCGAGTGTGTGTTTATATATGAACTTTTTAAAAAAAACTTTAAAGTGCTTTGGTTTACCGGCTTCCAAACAACTCTAATTTTACTCTTTGTTTTTTGTTTATCGGAGTCATCAAACATTTATCCCAGGTCTGAAATAATTCATGTTGTTAACTTATCCCTGGTGCTACCCCACGATGGGCGCCACGTTTGGTTCATATGTACAGTAATATATCTAATATCGAAGCATGTGTTGCATTTAGCTGCTCTGTTCGACTCCATCATGTTGTTCCCTTTACCTACAAGGTGATCCACGAACAGCCAAGTCTTTGTTTACCTTTATATCCTTAATGTTAGAAAATAGATGTTGCTATGGTGTGAAACAATGCAAGATGGTTTCTCCTAAAGAGGTAGCGTAGCACTATGATAATATGTGGCCTACATTTCATGCAATAGGGCTTGTGTTTTCTGGGATGTAGCCACCAGGGACCATCACGGCACAGACAAGAGATTATGTTTAAAAAGGTAAGGATGAAGGTATACTGGAGGTTACATCCTCAAATATCAGTGTCTGGTGTGTTTTTTTGTTTGTTTTAAGATTTTTTCTTATTAATAATTATAATTTTTTCCCGTGCCGTAGAAGTGGATGATATGTGCTGCCTTTATTTTATAGCCATTGTTCAATTTTACTAGTCTAATTTGGGTTTGAAGAGAGTATAGAACCCAAAAACAGAATTAAGTGTGATTTATATGAGTCATCTCTTTGGTAATGTGTAAGGCTAATGCCATTGATGAAGCTGATTATGATAATGAACTTGTTGTTATGACATTGTAATGTAACGGATGCATGATTTGAGAACCCTAATTGTACAGGTCATTTAAATGTCATACTGTTGTTGTTGCTTTGTGTGTTTCTTGAAAGAGGCTTTTAATAAATTTACTTTAAAGACACTCTGCTTGAGACACTCTTTAAACAAAACAATTCACAATTAAGTGGGTCTCAGTTAAGAATTGTTTTGTTCTTCATCACAAAGCTAAAGTCTATGAAGTCTATAAAGTCTATGTCTGCCCTCTTGTGGGTTTCACTCAGAAGAACCACATGCTATAGCTGAGAAGTTTCTGGACTTTGCTTTTATTTCTGGCTGTATAAATGCCATAATCATATGGGAGCATAAATTTCGATTTCTGAATGTCTACTGAAACTCTAAAATTAATCATCATTTTAGAGAGGCATGAAAAACGACATCCTTGCGCCTCCTGCAGGACCTGGATATATAACTACTATACATAGATATGAACGATATAAACTGTCTATGTATTTGATAGACAGACGGACATAAATATATAAACTGTCTATATATGCCGTAATAGATGCATAGTAACGTTATAAACAATATAGGCCTAGATAACGAAATAAACTGTATAAAGCCTATATATATATCTATATGAAGAGTTCAGATGCAAAAGCCTCTAAATGCCATTTGAAATTTTCTTCTTTAATGATGATTTTTATCAAACTTGTATATTTAAGTTCAGTAATTTCACTTAAATAACAATTAATAGGTAATTATCATTGCCATTTAAGTGAAATCACTGAACTTAAATATACAAGCTTGATAAAAATCATCATTAAAGAAGAACATTTCAAATGGCATTTAGAGGCTTTTGCATCTGAACTCTTCATATATATATATATATATATATATATATATATGCCTATAGATAGACAGACATAACAATATAGAATGTCTATAGATCGATAGAATCAGTCAGTCATCATCCCACATACTATAAACAGACAGACATATTTTTTATTATTATCAAAAAGAAGAGCGTGTTACAAATGGTACCGTATTTAAAAAAAAATAGGCTACACTAGAAGTAACAGAGTTGCACATCAATGCAGATCTATATGAAGACAATGAAACATTTAACTGCCTTTTGCTTAATCGAAAAACGACTTAAATGTAAAGCTCCATTTTTTTTTCTTAAATTATTTAAAACATTGTGAACATGGATTTTTGCCCATAAAAGAATACAATATATAATATAAACCTGACTGTGGTTCTATAATTCTCCAAAATCAACACAAATTGGTCATCAATGCTCCTTGTGATAAAATCATAAACATTTTGCCAAAATGGTCTTAAATGGGCAGTGGCAAAATAAATGAACCAGAGTTTCAGGGCAACTGTCACAAAAAGTGCAATTAAAATCAATATCGCTTTTAAATTTCACAAAATAATGTTTAGCTGGGTAAATTGTATGTATAATTTTGAATGATACCTTCTTAACTTTGTAAGTAAATATTGACTAGGTAAGCCAAACCTTTTTCCACACAATATCCTCTGTCATTTGATTCCAGTATGATAATGCAAAGACACATTGCTTCTTTGAAATAACACTCTTAAGGATCTGTTTCATGAGAAGTTGTTGAATAAGGTGCTATATGTAACTTTTCTTCTAAAATAAACCCTTTTTTATTGCCTGTGTGTGAAGGGGTTGTAATCACACATTACAATGATCCACTTGTCGGGTTTTGCTATTACTGAAGGCCAGTATTAATTATAAGTATATATGAGACATTAAATGAAAACAAAAGACTGTTCCATGATAACAAAAAGTAGGTGCTTTAGGATGTAACTTTTATTTTATGTAGCTACTAGATCTGTCTAACGCCACTCATCCCACTACTATCATACTGTTTATAATACACATTTCCAGACACGTTCAGTACAGTAATGTTACTTCCAATGATCTTACTGTTACACTGAAGTTGTTCAGTCTAGTTCACTGACCGTTTTCGTTATCATATTATACATTCACATATGTTGACATCGCGGATTGTGAAAGATAGACAAATAGTTAGTGAAATGCCTTATGCTAGATAACACCACAAATGTAACGTTATCATGGTATGAGCATGGAGCATTAGTTCAACGTCAAGCTGATAAAAGTAGCCTATTACTTTAACATTGCAGTGGGAGTTTACATGAGTTTCCAGCATGTTGTGTGATGCTTTCTCCGGTGTGTTGAAAGTATCAGTGTGGCCGCGTACCGTGAGTGCTCACTCTTGTGTTTGAGCACGCGTAAGACCACGAGCGCTCTTGTAAAAATAGGTTGCAATCTGAAACATCACCGATAGAGGTCTCTAAAAAATACATATAGCACCTTTAAGTATTTCCTGATGTCTAAACAGAATACAGATTTCAGGAGATATTTCATCAAAAACTTTTGCATCTAGTCCCCTGGTGTTACAGGAATCTTATAATGTGCCAAAAACTTCGCAAATTAATTCAGTAGCCAGAGAAATTTGGTTTTCGTTTAGAATGGAGAGTGTCATCATCAGCTTATTGGGTTATTTTTTTATTTCTCATTTTTATTTTTCAAATTTCTAGCGTGTCGAAACTGAATTTATGCTCTACCGAGTCAAATGCAATGCAAATCTAAGAATAATATAAAACCTTTATCACAGTAGTCCAGAACATCCACAACTATATTATTTTCTTATTCCAACTTTTCATGAATCCAGGTTCTGATTTATCAATTACACAATCCAAAAACAGTTTTCAATCTAGCTAAAATTAGTGCCAACAAATGGACACACAGAGAGTTTGTGCTTGACAGGTTGGATGACGAATGTTCAATATTATGATGACGAGTGTTGGAGGCGGGGCTTCTAGAGGAGGATGTTGCTGCGCTCATGGCTCCCAGACCGCGTATCCCAATGCAATACTAAATAACTTCAATGAAAGGAAAAGCATTGACTCTGTTTATAGCAGAGAAGTGCATTTTTAAAAATATTACATTTTTTAGTTTAACACCGTAGCTTTTTTAATCTCCCTTATATGCGAGCGAGCTATGGATGTGCAGGTTGCAAACCACTGCAGCGCCAAGTCTGCGGCGAAACCGCAGAGTGCAGCTGAATGCGGGATAGAAAACGCTCCAAAGAAGAAATCTCGGACGAGAAGAGGCAGAAGAGGGAAGAGACGGAGGGGCAAGAAGGCCAACGAGCCTCCGCCGTTTCTCCCACCGGAGGTAATGTAACGTTAGATGTCGGATCATGCTAACATTAGCCAGCGGAGATGATCCTACTGTACGTGCATTACACAATTACTGGTGTATAACACAGGCCTGCTCTACATTATAGGGAATCGGCATATTTATAACTGCAAATGTGCAGATGCTGGAGAAGTATTGATATTTTAAATGCACAAAATTTGTAACTCTCGGTGAAATATCGTACAGTTACGTTATTGCTACTGTACAATTATAACACATTATTCTTAGAGAAATTTAAAGTGTAAAAAGTTTTGTTTTGTTTGCTATGTGATGACAGGTTTGCTAGTGAGTACTAGTTTACCACAGGCCTAAGGCATCTAACAGAATTAACTGGCCAAAATGTTTTTAGGCAAAAACAGATATATTAATAATAATGTTAGATAATAGTTTATCAAATCTATTTTATCAAACTAATAATAGTTTGTAAATAATAAAAAGCTTTGTTTATGTTAATGCAGTTTCAAATAAATACATTTTATGCGGTTATTATTTATTTTGTGGTATTTTTTAAGGCAGTATGTGCAAGCACTGATTTATTTAATTGATTGTTTCCCCCCAAAATATCTTCATGTTTTTAGGCTGAAGAGGGGAACATTGAATATAAGGTATGCAAAGCCTACAATCAATCACAATCTGATTAAGTGAAATTAAATTCATTCTGATTTTTATCATCTCAGTCCATCCAATCATGTAATCTTTCACCCAGTTGAAGCTGGTAAACCCCACACAGTATCGCTTTGAGCACTTGGCCACGCAGTTGAAATGGCGACTGCAGGAGGGCCGGGGGGAGGCGGTGTATCAGATTGGGGTGGAGGATAATGGTCTGCTGGTTGGACTTACAGAAGAAGATATGAAAGCATCACTTAAGACTCTTCGCAGAATGGCCGAAAAGTATGTTTTATTTTAAGAATATTTATTTTTTATTTGAATTTTTTTAATGATTTAATTACTCACGAACCCCCTGCTATTTAATCACAAACTTCAGTCTGGGAAACCCTGATGTAATGTAATAATTAATGAATGTCATGTTGTTGAAAACAAAGAATGTAACATATTTTCTTACTCTTTGTATTTTATATCAATATGGTACGATATTATCCTATTCAAATCAATGTGGTAAATGAGTTAGGTCAAAAGTAATCTAAAAGTAATCCTAAAGTAGTCCGATTATATTACCTTAAATGTGTAATGTAATGGATTACATTACTAACTACAATTTTGTCATGTAATTTGGAGTGAGTAACCAACTACAATTTAAGTAATCTACCCAGCACTTGCAAACATGTCACAATATTCGTCATTTAAATAATTCCCGCCCAAGTCATACAGAAAATAAAATGGTTGCCTGGTTGAATTTGTAAGTAGTTTGTTGAAACTCGTAGTTATGGTAAGATGCGTGACATTTCCCAAACACGCTTGAAGCACTTGACCAATCACAACACACTGGGCCAGCTGACCAATGAGAGCACACTGCACTTTCTGAAGGAGGGGCTTCATAAAGACAGGAACTAAACAGAGTGTTACTGACAGACTGGGAAGAGAGGTGCCGCAACAATGTTAAATACGCAAAAAAATTGTTTTTTATCATTCAATCATTCTAGTAGAGCCCAAAAACAAAACCAAGACTTTGAAAAAGGGCATAACATGGCCTCTTTAATATATTAATGTCAACGTGTTAGAAATGGCTTACACAAAAAGTGTGTTGTGATGTCTTGGTAAGACTCTGTGACTCTGCGCAGGGTTGGAGCTGATATCACACTTCTGAGAGAGAGGGAGGTGGACTGCGACAGAGCTCGACGGAAAATCGCAGAAGTTCTCGTGAGGAAAGTTCCAGATGACCAGCAGGTTAGCTTGTGATGCTCCTCATTTAATTTTCATTGTGAATTGTGGTTGGTGTAATTTTAGTCACACATATCAAAAATGTAGCTCGCACATACGATGATCTTGATTTCCCGAATACAGCCGTGTTATAATAAACATTTTTTAATAAATACATTTTTCGTCATTTACTAAAACAAAAAAGTTTTTCTTTTGCATTTTTCACGTTTATGAGACAGCATTGTCAAAACTATCCCCGTTCACATGTATCTGTAAAGACGTCTAAAACGCTGTATTATTCATGCCAGGCCAGTAGATGGCGATGTCACTTTGTAAAGAAACACGGCAACGCTTCCTTTTACAGTCCTGTTACATACTATGTACTTATTATAGTAATTACAATACAATCGAAAAACTTTTGGTGGACTAAAAAATGGAATAGTAATAGTTGGCAATTTTCAAGATGGCCGCCATATTGAATTTTTGAGTGGCCAACGCCTTTTTCCAAAATTTTTCAGCTTTTAGTTGAAAATGGTGTTCCCTAATGTATTATGCATTGTCAAATCGGTGTGTGTAGTTCCTGGATCTTCGTGTGGCGGTTCTGGGTAACGTGGACTCAGGGAAGTCTACTCTGCTGGGAGTGTTGACTCAAGGCGAGCTGGATAATGGACGCGGCAGGGCGAGACTCAACCTATTTAGACACTTGCACGAGATCCAGACTGGACGCACGTCCAGCATCAGTTTTGAGATCCTTGGCTTCAACAGCAAAGGAGAGGTGAGACAAATTTTTTAAAACCCACAAGTTCACTTTCATTTCTTCAACTACTTCCTACCTGCCAGCATATGCATGTTGTTTTGTGAAATAACTTTAATCTTTTTAGGTTGTAAACTACAGTGACTCCCGTACAGCGGAGGAGATCTGTGAGAGCTCTTCTAAGATGATCACGTTTATTGATCTGGCTGGTCATTATAAGTACTTGAAGACCACCATATTTGGCTTGACAAGCTACTGTCCAGATTTTGCCATGCTGGTGGTGGGAGCCAATACTGGCATTGGTTAGTATTTATGCATATATTTATATTGATTTAGAAGTTTTGAAAGAGGTTTAAGGATATGTTTGATGAATAAGTAATAATACGTAGAACCAAACTATTACAACAAATTCGAAAAAATATAGTTATTTATTATTCTCACGCTGTAAAATTCTCTCAGCTGGCACAACTAGGGAGCACTTGGGTTTGGCGATGGCGCTGAAGGTGCCCATATTTATTGTGGTGAGTAAAGTGGACCTCTGTGGGAAAAGCACAGTGGAGAAAACGGTCCGTCAGCTGGAGCGAGTGCTCAAACAGCCCGGTTGCAACAAGGTCCCCATGGTGGTGGCCAACCCTGACGATGCCGTCACTGCGGCACAGCAGTTCGCACAATCCTCTAGGTACATGTGTGTGTGAGAAGACTGAGGTTCTTTTATAATATGTTATATGTTTATTGCTGAAGTCCACTTATAAATATATTCCTGACACTTTCCACCTTCTCTCTGAGCCTTACCATTGTAAGGCTGTTTTTAGTACTGTACCTTTAAGATTTAAATATGTAAAAATAAGTAGGTCTACCCTACCACAGTTGTTCAACACTAGTTTGTGTATCTGTGTGTGTAATGACGAATCTCTCTCTCCACAGTGTGACACCCATCTTCACCCTCTCCAGTGTATCTGGTGAGAATCTGGACCTTTTGAAGGTCTTTTTCAACATACTTCCTCCTCTGAGCAACAGCAAAGAGCAAGAGGAGCTCATGCAGCAGCTCACGGAGTTCCAGGTACACTCATGCTCTAACCAACACACACATGTTGTCTGAACTCTAGATGCACTTTCATGTCAAATTGATGTGTTCTTACAGGTGGATGAGATTTACAGTGTTCCTGACGTAGGGACAGTGGTTGGTGGAACACTGTACAGGTCAGTCCACATCAAACTTGTCTATCTGATGTTTTAATTACTGTGTAATAACCACCTAGCAATGCACTAGCAAGTGTTCACTTTAGGAAACCATAGCAACACCTTAGCAACCACTTAACAACACCCTAGCAACCACTTATAACAACATATGTACAAAATAGCAATGTTTTAGCATTGTAGCAACTGCTTAGTTGGCACCCACATATCAATGCCTTAGCAACCACCTAGAACACACTTGCAACCACTTATCAATGTCCTTTCAAACTCTCATAACACTTTAGCAACGCCTTAGATCTGTAGCAACAGTTTAGCCTTAGCAACACCTTAGCAACCACCCAGAACACTCTTGCAACCATCTTATACCGGTCTTACAATCACCCAGAACACCCTAGTAATTAATTAACGATGCTCTAGCAACAACTCTGAATGACTTCTTAAACCCTAGCAACCACATGGCAACACCATTGGAACCACTAAGGACAGGTTATCTGCTGACTAGCATTGTTTTAGCATTGTAGAAATACCCACATATCAATGACCTAGTAGCCATTCTGGACACTATAGTAATCCCCTAGCACCCTAGCAACATCTTTGCAACCCATTAGAACACTCTCCACATAGTAACATATTTGCAACTACTTTAGAACAACACATTACTCTAATCACATTTGAAACGACTCATAACACTCTTGTAACTGTCATTTAACTCTCTCACAACCACCCAGAACACCATCGCAACTGCTTAGCAACACCCTAGCAGCCATTAATAACCTCATCTACTGGCTAACAATGTTTTAGCATTGTAGCAACTGCTTTGTACCTACATTTCAATGCCCAAGCACCAAAACACATTGGCAACGCCCCAGCAACAGCTTAGCAAACTCAAAACACTACCCAGAACCCTCTTAACAGCTGCTTAAGGACGCCCTAGCAACCACTCAGAACAACTTTCTACTGCCTAACAATGTTTTACCATTTTAGCATGTGCTTTGCACCTACAGTTCATTGCCCTATCACTACAACACATTTGCAACACCCCAGCAACAGTCTTATAATTTTCTCACTACCACCCAGAAAACTCAAACTGCTTAGCAACACCTTAGCAACCACTCTGAACATCTTTTCAACTGCTTAACATCACTCTAGCTACCTCCTAGAACACCCTAGCCAAAACAGAGCTTCAAAACGTAATCTGTACACATAAAATATCTCTTCCAATATTATTTAAACTAAATTTTCCAGCAAAAAAGGTCCGTTGTCTATTGTCAATAGTGTAGCGAAGTGTGTAGCACAGCTAAACACAGATAAGTCACTTTCAAAAAGTAGCTTTCTGTTGGTTGACACAGCAAATCCTTGTGGCCAACTTGAACCTGTTACATGAGGAAATCTTTCTCCCTCATGCAAAATCTCAGATCTCATGGATTCCTATTGAAATGCAAATTAGCAAAAATCGGACAATTTGACCGCAACTTACGGCCTATATAACCTTCACACTTCAAGGCTTTTTCAAGCCAATCAATATTCAATTTGTCTTGACAAACTTCCTCTTCTAGTTAATTGACTTTCCATTCACACACAGTGGTGTGTGTCGTGAAGGAGACCGGCTGGTTGTTGGTCCCACGGATGATGGGAGGTTCCTGAGGTTGAAGGTGTGCAGTATTCACAGGAATCGCTCCGGCTGCCGCGTGCTGAGAGCCGGACAGGCTGCCACGCTTGCGCTTGGCAACTTCGATCGCTCTTTACTACGAAAGGTCTGATCTCAAAAAGAGGTTACATAGTCATATCTTTATGATGTCTTTCACTACGATGATCTCTTTTAAAGAGTGTTTATGTTTTTAGGGCATGGTTATGGTGAGTCCTAAAATGAACCCTACAATTTGCTGGCAGTTTGAGGCCGCCATTGTCCTCCTGTTCCACGCCAAGACTTTCCGCCGTGGTTTCCAGGTCACGGTGCATGTGGGGAACGTGAGGCAGACCGCCACGGTGGAGTGCCTCCTTGGGAAGGTGTGGATTGTTTGCTTCTTGACATTAAAGCAGTGATGGGTAACGTCCGTCCTGGAGTGCCGCTGTCCTACAGAGTTTAGCGCCAACCCTGATTAAAATAAAACTAACTGGATGTAGCCTTACCAGAGATGGTCTTATTATCGAGAGATAGGAGGGTCCTTGGCTCTGCCATTGGAGAAAGCGGAATGGCTAACTTGTAACACGTGTGCCTAATCACATTACAGCCTTGACGTCATTGAATTTCGTTGAGAGTTGAGCGACAGTCAATCACTGTTTGCCATGGAAGCTTGTTTCCGCCACAGAATAAAAAATAAAAAAGGTTATTGCGACTTTATCTCACAATTCTGACTTTTTATCTCAGAATTGCGTGATATAAAGTCGCAATTGCGAGAAATAAACTCACGATTCAGAATTGCATTCGGAACGCGCCGTTGCAACTTTATATCACGCAATTCTGACTTTGTATCTCCCAACTGCGTGGTATAAAGTACGCGAGAGATATGTAAGCTATAAAAAAGTTTGAATTGCGAGTGTATTTCTCGCAATTCTGACTATAACACGCAATTGTGAGAAATTTTCTGTAAAACATGCAGAATTGCAAGTTTATTTCTCACAATTGCGAATTTATATCTCACAATTCTGACTTAAAAGTGGCAATTATCTTTTAAAATGAATGAGAAGTGCCTTAAACTGAATCATACCTATTACCTATACCACACAATTTTCCGTGACTTCTCTTATAAAACAGAATTTTTTTTTTAGTCTACAAATAAATAAATCCATAACAAATGTTTAAGAACGAACATGTTGAAGATTAGCTGATGGGTTGTTGATTCATTCATTTATAAGCTGTTTTCCCACAAAAGCAACTTATTCAGAGTAGTGAAGCCTCCATTAAAAAAATGCTGCCTCTGGACACCTTCCCTGTGTATTGCAGCGTTAGTAGGCTTTTTTTTGTGCAAACCTTGCAGGCATAGTAATCCTGAAACATTAATTAGCTTGTTCCGGTGTGTTTGATTAGGGTTGGAGCCAATCTCTGCAAGACATCGCCACTCCAGGACCAATATTGCCCATTTTTGCGTTAAAGGCTGTCTGCATTAATCCACATAAAAAATGCTTTCCTTCCACACAAATTCTCATTCGGTTCTTCTGTGGAACACAAACCGTGTTTAGAAGAGTGTTGCTCTGTTTGCTTATCGTTACATATATGTGTTTGTCTTCTAGGAGGAGCTGCGCACAGGCGAGAGAGCCGTAGTGTGTTTCAGATTCTTGAAGCACCCCGAGTACTTGCGCGTGGGAGCCAAACTGCTCTTCAGAGAGGGGGTGACCAAAGGCATAGGACACGTGACGCACCTCCTTCCTTCCACCCAGAACCACTTGCCTGATCAGAACCGCAACCAGAACCACAGTTAGACATGGCAGGAGTGAGACCATATGTCAAAAGAGGACACTTTCTGTACTTGCCTTGAGTTCGCTTCCCCTAGTTTTATCACACACCTTTCATTTTCAAGCAGATTTGCCTGTGTGTAAATGCTCTTCATTCCTGTGACATTTGGAGGGTTGTGGGACAGCGATTTAACGATTAGGTTTTATGTCTAATGGTGTTTGGAAACATCTCATGCGTTTCACATCTTAGCTTAAAAGCTGGCTGACCTTAAGGAAAGCATGTAGGATTTCCAGTCGCTAAGTTGGAGCAGATTTCTGCAGGAAAAACTCCTGACTGCAGACTGCATTATAGATAAGAAAACGATCATAGTAGATTTAGAAATTTGTATTTTTTGTCAGCAGTAGTAATACTTCTCCCGATCCTTAGTATTAAACATGTACAGTAAATTTGGCGCACACACCTTGGACCTTTTCTTTTTACAAAGATTCACACAGGAAGGCTGAAAGCAAGATTATAAGGGTGCTTTCACACTGGCAGTTGCTAATGCTAATGTGCTAATTGCTAATGAGATAACTGTTGTGCAAACCAAACCTGGGTCCACAACAGGGTACCAAACCCAAGGCCCCGTCCCAAATGGCACCTAACACTCGCAGCCTTCCTACGAGTCAGCACTTTCGACGATATATTTAGTTCAATAAAACACATGTAAGGATGTTAGTGTTGAAGATATAACTTGGATACAAGTAAGCCTGCAGTGTAATCGTGCATAGCAAGCGGCAAATAATGGAAAAGCACTGTCTCCTAGATTGATTCAGTTTGCAAGCAGCAGAAAGACAACTTTCATGCGACTTACATACAGTAAACCCAATTGTCGTTTACTCTGCTGCGCATAATAGCATCAAATTAATAAAAAACAATATATTTTCTATCATGCGGTGTGCATGTTTGTAATGATGTAAGGTGAACGCAAATGCACCAGTGTTCGATAGAATCGAGTCGAGCGTGAAACCAGACCAGCGCTGTGGGAGGCATCGGGAACACGGCCGCAGCAAACGTGCGAAAGCCCCCTTAGTGTAGGCCTTAAGCCCAAAGTATACTTCAGTTTTGACGTGAAACCACTGGCAGTGTGTATGCTATTTCTCTTCAGACGTTTTGACCAATAAAAAAGTTGTCAGGTATCTCTTAACCCCTTCACACAAGTGCTCATCAGCACAGGTGTCTATTGATTTGTTGTTACAGTTGGACATTGAAACTGAAACACCCGGTTTTAGACCACAATCATTTATTGGTATGGTGTTGGCCCTCCTTTTGGGGGCAAACAGAGCATCGATTGGTCTTAGGGATGACAGATACAAGTCCTTCAGAGTGGCCAGAGCGATTTTGAGCTCTCACTGTATGATCTTTATGGTCCTTTATGGTTGTTGCTTGTCAAACTGTACAATTCTGTAGCAATGAGTTTGGTTGTCCTGTTTCCTGCTAGTAGGAGCAGTTGTGATGATGTGCCAGAACTTTGTCGGGGGCTAAGATTTGTCAGAAAGGCAGCTAGGAATGATTCCCCAAAATTGTCTTGAATGGAAGAATTGACCCTTCACAGGCAGCTTGAGTGACAGGTGATCTGACCAATTATACTTTGCCATCCGCCATTTTGTCCGACAAAGCAGTCAGGAGAGTCATGGTGCGTTTCTATTATAGCCAACGAACCGACTCGGACCTCGGATATAACGTCACGTCCACACTTAAAGCGTTCTATTATGTTTTGTTCGTCCGAGTCGGAGAAAAAAATGGACGCCAAATGGACGAAAATGTGATTTAGCACTTACATTAAAAAAAAATATTATGACTACACCTTATCAAAACGCAGCCCTTCGAACTTGAAAATGTTCACTTTCTTTCTTTTTCATGTTAATCTTCTGTTAGCAACGCTTACAACGTTAGTAATTGCACTCACAGCCAATTCCCATACCTACAGGGGACGCAGTAATACGTCATTTAAAATACCAAAGCGATTAAAAAACAATGAAAACAATTCATACTTACAAGTCACACAGGGCGCAGCCATCTTGAATTCCGAAACGGAATTCTTGCTCGGTGTGTTCTCACGGTTGTCCGATGTCCTAGAGGAGAAATCCGAAGAAAGGGGGAGTGTTGTTAGGCAACGTCTGTCGTCCAATTCGGATCCCTGAGACGGATAAAAAATAGAACGCACCATTAGTAGATTAACATGGGATTTGAACTTGAAAAATGGAATGTACTGATGCCTTTCTGCGGTTAAAGCAACATTCATTCTAATGTTTATTTGATGCTATAAATGAACTAAAAGGAAGAGATGATCGGATCATGAGCAGCTGTCACGACACATTAAAGTTGATCTGTCACGACACATTGAAGAGCCACAAAACGGTATTTATTGTTTAAATTTCTTTTAAAAGATACCAAATTTGAAAGGTGAGACATTGTTTAATATGTTTAATATCAAAAGTAACCGAAAAGTAACCTGCGTCAGTCAGCGTGTTGTATTTTTCACTGCATGAGAACAAGCAGCGTAGCTTGTCGGACAGGAAGTAGTCGCAATGAAAACATGGTTGTAACAAGACAAAAGTACAGTCCATTTGATGTGTTGAAACAAACTTAATGTGATAACGAAATAAAATGGACTGATTAAAAAAAAAAAAAGCCAATTTAATGAATCCAACAATTTACGGTTTCATTCACATCGATTTTGTTTGCGTTTCATGAATGAATGACCACAGTTACTGTTCACGTCATTCAGTTTCTTTTCAGTGCGTTTGTTGGTGTGATGAGATTTCGCCCTCATCTTTAGGACAGAAGAGTTAACTGAAAGGGAATTTTTGGAGCTCTAGTGTTGTAAGACCAGTGAGCCATGACTATGATTTTATAATCCTGAGGACATTGTGCCTAATTATTTATCTTCACTGATATGACTCCAAAAACTAATTTGTGCATATTGCATATAAGCGAGGTTTAGGGAATTTCAGATGGCTTATAGGCAGGCCCATCCAGCGCAACCATGCTTGGGACGGTCCTGGTTCAGATTACACGATTTTAGCCCGATTTTGGCATGATCCGTTTGACGTAGGGTGTCATGGGGATTCGTAAACGACAACGGGCGTCGGGACGCAAGATTCGATCTTATCATCTCGTAATGTGTCATTGTGGGCGACAACCTACGTCGCGTCTGCGATGCTTCACGAAATCACGACAAAAAGACTAGCATGTTTAATTTTTTTAAAGGTCGTCCACGACGGTTCCATCACATGTATGAGGTTGACCAATAGGAGCACAAGCTTTTCCGTATTGAGAATGAGGAGTCACGTGCCTATTTGGGCGGGGTCTGAGCCGGTCGTCCATGATGGTAGGAGACGCTATCGGTTACCAGGGGCGATGCCTTTAGAACACATAGACACGACTAAACGTTCCAGAGCTCTTTTCGCGCATTTATTATTTTGGCAGGATAGAGACGGATCTAAGAATACGAGAAAAAAGGAAGAAAGTAAAGCAATGCTAAAAGATAAGGCGAAAGAAAAGGGACCTTACAGGAACAAACTCACACAAAGTGCAAAACAGCTGTATTTGGAGAAGCAGCATCAATATATTTATTCTTTTGCACTAATAACAGTATTATTATTTTATTATTATGACTTATGTTGTCCATGAAACTTATGTTGTCCAAATAGCCTATGTATTTCAATTCTCAATTCTCAAATATTCTCAAAAGTTCTCAAATATTGTTAAGCCATATCAAGTTGTTTCAAACATTTATTTCAATGAAATAAAAAAGTAATGAACAAGGCACTCAAACAACACTTTTGCATGTTCGTTAAGGCACAGCAAACAGTGACAATCGTATACTAAAGGCATCAGCAAACCCAGCAATCCAGCGTCTTCTCGTCAGGTTAGACTCTCCCTGCTGTGTCCATTTCGGTAACCCCAAAAACTTAATTCCATTGTTTCTATATTTTCCAAATGTATCGTGTGAGTTACTGGAGGAGTTTTTAACGCAGCAGTTACTTCCAGTGCGGTATTGCGAGAAACTCCTCTACTACCGAGAAAAACACACGTAATCAATACTGTTTTGCCGTGGGAATCCTACCAACATGGCGGAAAGGGGAGGGGCACTGTAAAATGACGTCAACTCCTCATTCTCAATACAACTTTCAAAAAAGACAAAACGAAAGAGAGACGATGGTGCTAGCTTAAAACTAAAAGTAAAAAATAAGGAAACAATATTTTACCTCAAGTTCTCTTTGGAGGATTGACAGCCCATACTGTCCTCTTCAAGCAGGGTTCTCAAGTCTCACGCAATTACCGTGAAACACACGCAACCAGTTCACACTCGCCACACCGTGTATTTCTCACGCTGAAAAGGCGCGCCGATCAATCCAGGAAGTCACTCGCTACGAGTTTCGCCTTCTCGATGACATCACGCGCGCCGTTAAACACGGCATGCGATGACTGGTCAGGAAATAACGTGTAGTCTTGTCCACAACACGACAAGATTTTAGGAGCCAAAATCGCGTAATCTGACACAGTGAATATCGTAACAGACACGTGTGTATTTTTGTGTGTACATACACATTTTTGTGTACACACAAAAATCGTGTAATCTGAACCAGTTAACTGAAATCTTGTGTGATCGCATTCGTCATGAGCATGTACAGGAACCCAGATAACAATTGTGTTTTGCGTCTCGTTCACCTGTGCAGTCCTGTTTGATATACAGTGCAATTATTAAAACATTGAATGTATATTTATCATAGATATGAGTGACCATTTAAAGTTACTAAACTAAAATAAAAGCCCATTTCATTGAACAATAGTGGATATTAGGCAACATTCATGACAAAAGCAGAATGCAAATGTAATTTACCCGTAAAAAACATTCTTGCATAGATTTTCACACAAATGATATTAATAATTTACAGACAATTTACAAAGAAATTTCTTCTGCTTGTGTTTCATAAATGAGGCCCAATTTCTTTCACAAATTCAGCTTGGTCAACAGTGCATGTTGTGCTTACACAAATAATAATTAATATTGTCTGATGTGCAGCTGGTTGGCTTTATTATGTTTGGGATGTATCTTCATTTCACGTACTTCTGAATAAAAAAAGCCTTCAAACCCGATATCTAATGCTTTGCTATTAGTTTCTATGTAATAAAGAATTCATGTTTTATTGTGGAAACCCTTTATTGTTTGTTTTTATTTAATTTGACTAAATAAATGGAATAGTTTGTCATGGAAATTACAGCTTCAAAACTAGTAAAGCTCTTATCAGCATACCAATATAGAGGAATTTGAATCAATTGTGAATTGTGAACAAAACATTCCCATAGAAACCAAGAAAAAAAAAACAGCAAGTAAAAAGTTTTGACAAGTTTTATTATGATAAATGAGAGCTGTCTTTGCGCAATATTTTGTTAATTGTTCACAGAACACACTGTTGTAGCGTAGCAGCAAGCACCAAAAGAGGTTTATGTGTAACATGGCGTTATGAACAAAATAAAAAAGAAATATTATATAAAATATTTGTTTTACCTTCAAAAGATGAATGCTTTTTGTTTTGCACTTTGTGAAACAAATCAGCATTTGTGAATACAGAAAATTTCAGATGGAAAATTACCACTAAATCTGACATCCTTCATATGTGATATAATACTCAGATAACTTATTAATGCATCTGTACCATTCATACATTCGTCCTTCACTTGATACTCTTCCTTCACTTAACTACACATGCTTGTAATGTGCATCTAAGTCTACCTGTTCTACCAAAGCTTTTAACCTTACAAACATGTATAACATACCAACATGACACTATTCATATCTTTTCACAATGTAAATGTGATGCGTTCATCTTCGAAACTTGCTCTGCAGAACTAAGCGATTGTTGAAATGATGCCCCTCTGGAAACGTCAGGCACGTCAGTGCTGGTTTGGACATTTTCACGCAAGGCTCCTCTGTCTGGGCTTGATTCTGGGGTACAGCTATAGAAGAAAATATGTTCACATGGTTTGTCTTAAAACACACACCACATAGACATATAAACAACATTAAAAGCTTGATTTTCACCATAGGGAGACGTTTAAACCTAGCCTTAACCCCTGGAGTTCTCTTATATTACCCAGTACTTTCTTAGGTAAGTACACGCAAGTGCACCTACTGCAAAAAATTAAGTGCAACCGGCATTTCCTTACCCCGAGAAGATTGCGAGGTATGTACCCCTCATTGTCGGCACATCTTGCCCACCACCACTCTGTTTCTTCACTGTCCTCTCTTCGTAGGACAGTCAGGCAGTCTCCTTCCTTAAAGGACAACTCATCTGGGCCCTCAGCATCATAGTCCCACAGGGCATAAACTACACCCCTGTTCATGATGCCTATCTTCTCCTGCACACCTGTGGTAAACACCTCAATGCTACAGATTATTGCGATACTCCAATAGCTAAGCTACAAAAAGTCCTATTTTAAGTTCTGTTTCATAATGGGAGGACTGGCTTCTCACCATAGAGAAACTGAGAGCATTGGGCATATCCTTCTTCCATCTCCTCGCACTTGTCCGCCGCTGTCTGCATGTCGCTGTAGGTCGTGGCGTATACGGCAGCTCCCGATTCCACCAGGAACTTACACACTTGCACGTTATTGCAAGAAGCAGCGCAGTGCAGCGGAGTCCTAACGGAAAGAAAAATGTTTCGATTAGTTGCATTTAAAGCCTGGGCAGAATTATCCTGTGCTTATAAATGTTTTCCACTCACCATCCATCGCTGTCCGCGGCATTCGCGTTCACGCCAAACTGCACCAGGAACTTTACGATTTCTGTGTGTCCAGCGCACACCGAATTGTGCAGAGCAGTGATGCCCTCGTCATTGGGCAAACTGGGGTCGTCCACCTGGATATGACATACAGACATAACCTTGAAATGCTAACCTGCAATACATATCTAGTTTTTATATTACTTGCTAGTGGACCAAGTATGCAATTGATCATGACCTATTCCTCACCTCATATATGATCCTCTGGACGAGGTCGTACTCGCCCTCTAAAGAGGAGTCCAGCAGGAGGGCCAAGGGGTTAAAGCGTACACGCATCCCGTGGTTGATGCGCTCCGAGCCGGTCTTGCGCAGATTTGTTCTTTTGCCCTGAGAAACACAAGAGGGGATGGATGGATGGATGGATGGATAGATATTTGGTTACATAGACCTTCTTTAG